CGGCCGCCTTTTAGCTAGTACCAATTTTAGACTGGGTCGACCTGGGAGTAGGAAATCTTCGAAGCGGATTTGAACCTACGATCTTTTGTCCAACAGACTAGCCGCTACACCACAGCGGCTACCTTAACGAGTAAGGGAATGTATTTACTGCCACGCTCGAAACAGACACACACATACATATCAATACCTACATATTTACACATATGATATGTACAGCACAAAACGCAGATGTTATGTGTGTTAAGTTAAAATGTTGAATATAAAACAGGATGAATTCAAGAGGAGTGAAGAAACAGGAGAAATACCTAGAACAGCGGTTCTTAAACTGGGTGCCCCGGCGCCCCAGGGTGCCACGAGCGTATGCCAGGGTGCCGCAGCAGTAATGAAAAATTCATCCAAACAGTTCGTTCATCGCATTAAAGACAACTTAACATTCAATTTGCACTGTCTTTTCCTAAGTATTCAACCGCTTGAAGGGTAGCTGAGCCGCCAATTATTTTTAGCCTGACAAGGGTGCCGCGACAAAAACAGTTTGAGAACCCCTGACCTAGAAGAGCACTGGTAACAACAGTTACAAGACGAAGAATTTTGCTCTTTATTGGACACATCATGAGAAGAAAACGAGCAGATAAACACCAAACGGGCACTAGAATGGGAAAGAAAGGTATACAGGAAGCGAGGATATCCAAAGCCCACCCTAAAACAAACGCTGATGAGAGAGGAGGCTATGGGTGTTGGATTGGATTCCATCCACGACATCGAAGGGACTGTACAGAATAGAACAGTAAGGACGCACAGGCTACGAGCCCTATGTGACACATAATGGCACAGCAGGCTAATGATGACGACAATCCTTGTTGACTGCGGTAGAAGAGGTCTTTAAGAAAAATATACATAACCATTCCTGGTGTACGCGAGAAAATCATGGACATTCCGCCAATCGTCAACCTTTGAGACTAACAGTTTCCCGAGTCACACATCGGCGAAGGGGTCGTCCAATGGCTGGCCGGTAGACGACTTGGTCGTCGGTCGGGACAGTATTTGGGTCTGTCTCCTTTGATCGCATCAACACTGAAGGAGTCGTTTTCATTGCTCTCGGTGGCTTGCAGTGCGAAGCCATTTTATATGGCGCACATAACCTAGTCACAATTATAACCTAAAGCTCCCCTTTGGGGATGCTGGTTGAACCTGACGATCCCCCCCCCCCCCCCCTTCCCACGCAAAGCACCTACCAACCTAGTCCCCGAGCAGAAATAAATCAAAGCTTGCAGATGTTACTGTGCTTATGTTTATCATGAGGAGAAGATGTGTTTACAGAACATTAAAGAGAGTTAAGAACATCCCGGAAGATGTTGCCGGGCAACTGTGATTAGAGGTTGGAAGTTAACAAGCGCCCCGGGTCTTTGAGAACATAGGGACATCCATTGGGAACTTTACGGCTGTAAAGTCTGTCTAATCTAATCTAATCTAATCTAATCTAATCTATCTGTCTGTCCGTCCATCTGTCTGTCTGTCTGTCTATCTATCTGTCTGTCTGTCTTATGTTCAGTGAGGGACTCTGAAGAACCATGACAACATATGTTTAATGGGTAGCAAATTTACTCCCTCTGGAAGTAGTAGACCCGTGAGTTTAATATGACCATTTACAACTCACTCGGGCATTAGCTGGGATCTTGTGAGGCATAAAGAGTTAACAAGCATGTCGTAAAAGACTGATTAAGAATATGCTGAAATCAGATGTGTTGGGCAGAATAGCGTAGATATCGCGCCTTGCCGTAAACCACAAAGCAACCTGCCGACGGACTTTTTAAGGGGGGACACAGCAAAAGACGAAGCCATTTCTGTATAAAATGCCTCCAAAGATCTAAGCAGTTTAAGGCTGTCTACCATTTCTGTGAGGACCGCCCTGTTTTTCTGTCTGTTCAGTGCGAAAGTTGAAGATCAATAACTTGAGTTGGAAATCAATATTTATCATGTGCAACAGGTGTCCGCTTGCCATAGCTTGACTGTGAACTCTTACTTAAACTTTTATTTTTCTCCAACTCTTTGTTTATTCATTTCTGTAATATTTTATTGAACCTCTCCCCTCTCTCTCTCTCTCTCTCTTATCTTCTAGTCACTCACTGTCTTGACATGCTCTATCCTCATTTCTCTTTCCAAGTCTGCCTGTCCCTCCCTATCTCCTCTCGCAAACTCTTTCTCCTTTCTCCTCCCCCTCCCCCCCCCCCCCCCCCAATATCCTAACTACTATCACAAACTTCTATTTGCATCTGACTCATCCTTTATTGACTTTACCTTATTTCCTTTTTTTTTTGTTGCGCCCCCCCCCCCCGCCAACAACCGTTGTTTCTTTGGCTTTCTCCTAGCTCGTTTTTTTCTGCCCGCCCCCTCTCTCTGAAAATTTTACTTTCGAACCCCCCTTTTTTTTTATCCCTCCTTTTTTTTCTACTTATTTTCTCTTCATATCCGTTTAGATACTGTTTTCTTTTTAATTTCATTATTTCATTACCTCACCTCTATCGCCTCCTCTTTCTGTCACTCTTACATATCTCAGGCTTTCTCACATACACTGTCTCTTACTTTTTATTCCTCATTGCCTCCCCCTCTCCCTCTAACTTAGGCAGTTGCCCCTTAAGTGCAACAAATGATGGCGCTCAGACGGGGTCAGCGTAAGAACTTTCAGTCATAAAATGGATGCGTAAGAACTTTCAGGCATAAAAAGGATTTATAAAACAGTTTTCTGGTCCGAGAAATTGTCACTAATTAGGTTTCCAACTTGAGACCATCACAAATGATCCTGATATAGAACGAAGCAGCAACCCACATTATGCATTGACAGGTTGAGTTAAACGTATCAATGGTCTTTGATATCCCACAAGAGAGACAGAGCACACATGGACATGCCCTGAGTGCTGTGACGATGATGTTGCATAGGGTTGCCAGATACTCCGTTTCAGCCGGGGTTCTTTTTAGGTCTACATTTATCCCCACTGAGTAAGTTTAGTATGTATGTTGATTATGTATATATTATAGTCTATTCGTAGGGACTAGTATCATTATAAACAAAAATAAACAAACAAAAAGAGGCATCCCTTATTTATTTTTACCAAACTGGCAAACGTAATTAGTTGCAACTTAGCTGTAAACTACAATATAACGTACTAAACGCCTTTTTAAGGGTCAATCAGGAGGAGCAAGAAGAAGAAGTCTACACTAACAATTAACTATAATATATTGACTTCTGAACATCAGGAATAATAGGCTCATAAACAGCAAACTGTCTGGGAAACTGAAATACATTGGCCATATCAAGTGCAGAAGGCACGGCACCAACAACGAACAAAAACAAACAAAGTTCATTTTTAAAGAGTTAAGAACTGGACAAGATGGCCCGTCTAACATTCTGTCTTATGAGGTCTCCCTCCTTCTTACCTCATGTCATTCTCATCAAGTAATACACATTATCATTAGCATCTAAATATTCATTACAAGCACCAGAATGTCAATATTTTTTACTACAGTAAATCATAGTGGTTGTAATAAATCTCGGGAAAATGTGCACTATTTCTAAAAAAAATTTTATTTTTTTTCTAGAGGGCATGTAATCTGCGCTCAGATCAGATTGGAACAGTTTCCGATTGTGTGTCTCACTAATGCAGTGATTCCCAAACTGTGCGCCACGGCGCACTGGGGAGCCGCAACCTCTTCACAGAGGTGCTGCGAAATATTGTAAAAGCTTCATAATTAATGTAACCAAGACATGAACAGTGATATTTTTATTTAGGTTAGGGCGATGCAGAAAAATTGGCGCTGCGGTTAAACTTTAATTAAACTAACCAGGACATGAAAATAAAGGTTGGGGCGCCACGAGCAAGAAAAGTTTGGGAAACACTGGACTAGTGGTATTTTTGATCTGTTGTGGAAGACAGTTCCACAACTGAGCTAGAGAGTAGGCCAAACATGTTTCCAGTATGGAGATGGGTACAGGCCATAAGAGACACCTTGGGCAGGAAAATGCATGAGCCTGGAGAACTGGTAAAGGACCAAGTTTCTTTCAGGCGGGCCGAGATGGAAGGGACGTTCTATGAAAGAACATCCTTGATGATATCAGGCTGACAAGACAGGCAGTCAGACAAACAGGATAAACAGCACTTGGGTTATTTTTAGGCTTTCATTTGCAAATGTGAATCAATAAATGGCTATATAAAATAGGATAAATACAAATCAGAATAAGTAGGATAAACTACTATAAAATATTGACACATTAAATCAATAAGACTGGGGCAGTTTTAAAGCCTTCTAGGTGTGTTCTAAAACATATTAAGTATATTGTACTTTAACCCCATGTGGGTTCTGGGGCCCACTTTGAGAGAAGAAAGAACATATGAACAGACTCACTGTCCCCTTAACAAGTATGTCCTAAAAGGGTGACTAATTAGGGATCTGATGTGTTGGACCATGATGTTCAGATATACCGGAAGTCGTACATTACATCATAACCTGCCAACTGCCCTGTTGTGGATTAACACGGAAGAAGAAGAAGATGAAGATACTGTAAATTACACTTACATATGGGTACACATATACAGACTTAAAAGCATTTTTAATAGATAGCACAGATAATAGATATTACTGAACCAACATGCCAAGACATACTATTCTTTGCTAGTGAATACAGCTCACACTACGTCCTCCCCAACTTTTTAACTTCACTCTCTATCTTCCTTCTCCATGTGTTTTTGGCCTGCATTATTTCTGTGCCTCTGTGGGTTCCAGTGCAAAGACATTCAAGTCATTCAGTTCTCAGCCAGCATTTTATCTTCCCCTCTTCATTAACTGGAATTTGCTTAGTAGGTATATGGTGCTTGAGCTCTAATTTTAAAGACAGACTAGCCCTCAGCGGGTGATGTAGTCAACATCATACCAGCCACCTTTACTTCCCCAGACCAATCTAAAACTTACAAATAAAATGTGTGCATTCTCTCTTCACTCCAACTCACCTGTCTCAATGTAGGATTGGGCACAGCCTGTCGGGAGTCCACCTTGGGAGCATCCCCGAGCTGGTCAGGAGGTCTGGACTTCACCCACTGGATGCCGTGTAGGAAAGAAACCCCGGTCACAATCAGGAGACAGCTACTCACTATGTACTTGATCAGGGTGATGGTGTTCCTGCGCATGGTGTCTGCTGAAAGAAAACACATTTCAACAGAGGAAAAAATCATGCCAAAGTTTAGGAAAAAAAAACAACTTTTTTTCACACTAGGTAAATGGTTCAATGTTGAGGAAAAAAAATTATAAAACTTAGACCACGTTCAATCTGCTTTTATACAAGCTTTGTTTATATTTGTGGTTGCTGGTCTTTGTGGTTTTTCAGTTTCTTTCGATGCAGAATGTGGTTACGCCTGAGTTTTTTTATTTGTTTAACTATGCGTGCCACCATGTTTGTCGGGCTCTGGGTCGGTGAGGCTTCTGCTGCTGTGAGGAGAAGGCTGCCTGGTAGTCCAGATAAGGACTAGTCCACGCTAGGGTTCTATTTGGGCTTCTTCTGGGGTACACTTGGTTATCTGAGCTGAACATCTTGGGCCCCGAGTCTTTCTTTGTCTTCTTTCTTAAGCTTTTTGCATTTTGCTTCTTCTGGTTGTCTAAGATTTACGCACAAGGTAATCAGTAATTGGGGAAAAAAAAAGTTCTCGTCTCGTTCAATGAACTCCTGTGCTGAGCAGCGGTTATAGAGAGACCTTGTTTTTGAGTGTTTTAGTTTAGGTTTTATTTCTCCTTTGCAGCATATGGTTACGCCTTATTTGATTCCACTTTGTACACATGCCACCTATATTATTTTTTTTTTAAACACCAACATGCCAGCAGCTGCTTTTATTTCCCCGGGTATTTCTGGCACCAATTTTAGGCCGTGAGGACCAGGGAGCCAGTGTCAATTATAAAAATGTACCTCAAACCTAAAACCTAAATTTCTAGGCAAGTAGAGAAGCTCTGAGGCCAGTTTACACAACAACTGAGTTAGGTTAACCCTTCCCCAATCAAAAGGCCATTTAAAATAGGCATGAACCCGTGGAAATCTAAATTTGTTAAATTTAAAAAAAAAAAAACTGTTTTAGACAGGAAACTAATAAAATGGAAGCTGTCATGGTGTAGTGGCTAGATGCTCGCCTGACAATCCGAAGACCTTGGGTTCGAATCTGCATGAAGCTGGATTTGTTTTCATATATGACCTTGGCTTTCAGGTCTACCCAGCCTTAAATGGACACCATGTAAAGTTCTAGGAAGTATAGGTGTTCGGCAAAATGTGTGGCCCCCCCCCCCCCCCCCATTCCATTTATGTTGCCCGTGAAGAGACCTTCACTTTACTAACATAATGTTTAAAATATCTTAATCAAAATTTTGAAATTTTTGTTTCCAAATACATTGAGATATACAGTGGGAGTAATTAATAAACAAGAACAGAGTGAATCATTAAATGGAATGCATGTCACAGAGTCTTTAACAAATATGTACTGGATGATTGAGGCTTATAAGAAATTTTTAAGTCAACCTGGCTTTAAAAAAGCTACTGGATTTCATAAGGATCCCCGCTAAATGCTATATTTAGTCAATATATATTTATATCCGGGCCTCCTGAACACTACACAGGTGCACATAGAACCAATGGTATTTAAATATGCTTTTCAAGAACAGGTAACTGCTAAAATGATCATATATCAACATTATGAGGCTGTGTCACAACCGTTAGTGACCCGATTTATTTAGCCTTCTTTAGGTGACATGGTTAAGAACCCAAATCAACATCACATTCCCATAAGCGCTCTATCTCCATTTTCAGCAGCCAAAACATAATTCCAATTGTGATGGTACTAGCAGCCATTTGATTGTGTTTCTGCTTTGCCTTTGCCCTGAGTGTCAAGTGTCAGCCAGATCCCCGGGTCAATCTCTGCTACATCATTCTCTTCTTCAGATGTGATGTTCTAGTCATGCCCGCGCATTTTTCACACGCTCCCAAAGGGCCACTAAGACATATTTTGATAATTTTCATTTTTGCACCGATAAGCTTAATGGCTTAATGAGTTAATTACCCCTGCATAGTAAATCAGTTAAAATAATGACAGTATGACATTCATTTTAACAGTTTTTAAATACTACACACACCAATATCTCAAATTTATTTCACAATATCCAAGTTTGAAAACTGAAAAAAACAAAAGCAATTGTTCTTGTCTGCACAACTTCCCTCTAATTACAGTTTTTAAAAAAATTATTACTGTGCATCAAAATAAGGACAAAGATATAGAAAATGAACATAATGATGTGCCCTGCAAAGTTAAGAAAAACATATTTTCCCTCATATGATTCAACAGAACATGACAAGAGTTTGGTGAAAAACTCATTTTAAAAAACTAAGTCTAGCATGATTTAAGTACTTACATACAATACGCTCAAACTATTAAACACAAATAAATATGGGTTTCTTATTCTTTCTCTTTAACTTTGCATTTAAAATGCAGTTGGCACGTATAAGTTATAAGAAAACAATATATTAAAGATACCAACAGCAGATCATGTAGTCATCATATAAGAGAACAAACCGATAACAGTAACAGACTATTTCACCTATCTGGGTCGTGATTTTGACTCTCAAGGAGATACAACAAAGTAGATTAAGATAGGCACTGGCAAAGCAACAACAGTCTTTAAAAGCCTTAACAAAATAGGGCGCTCCAAGTTATACAGTTTAAAAACCAAGCTTCAGTTCTAACAATACTTCAATTGTAACAGCAAAAGTTGGAGAACCAACCATTAAAGATATGGAACGGAAGTTAAATGCATTTGAAAAAAAAAAACATGTCTGATAAAAATCATGAACATAAAGTGGGATGAATTAAAAAAGAGTGAGGAGATCAGAGAAATGTTTGGACAAATACCTGTATTGACAGCAATAAGAAAAAGAAGATGCAGAACTTGGTAATCTTGGTAAACTTAGTTTCAGCTTCATAGCAGACGAGTCACCCCATAGTTGCTCCGCTCCTGTGTGCATTAAAAGCATAGGGTAGCCAACAGAAGTGCTAACGCAAACAGTTTGACATTAGAAATGCAGTTCATCATCTATGGTAGCAGAAGTCGCCAACAGATCAGCAGTTGCACACACAATCAATATTAATCACATAAGGGCACCACCAATATTGCAGCGACAGGACACGTGCCATTTTCTGAATCTACAGTTCAAAACACCATGTTTTTTACAGTGGAAAAACATTCCAAATTAAATCCGCAGCTCACAGGGTCGTGCCATGCACTCAACTGAGTTGCTGGTGCGACGAAACTGTATCCTTTCGGTCTACAAATAGATAAAAAATGCAACGGTGCAGAACTATTGAGCACAACCTGAGATGAAATGAGCAAAAAACTACAAAACAGGCACTGAAGTGAGAAACTGAGAAAAGGGGTAAGTTCAAGAAAAACATTAAAAAGAACATTATGATGAGAGGCAAAAACTGCTGGGCTGAATTCCCTGTCAGAAATTGAAAATGTTGCATGCAATAGCAGAGTGGAGAAATCAAAAGTGAGCCCTATATGACATCTAATGCCACACAAAGGACCTAATGACATGCTTTTAGGGGGCTGTTGGTCTTTTCTATTTTCCCCAGAACCCACATAGGGAATTTCTAAAAAAAAAAAAAATTCAAAAACAAACTCAGTTTAGCATCAATCAAATACTTCCATGTAATACACCGTAAAAGTCATGCAAAATAAAAGGGGGCCTGACATCTCCATGATGGAAGTTGTACATTTACCGCTGTCTTTGGGAATATTATGCAGTGATGTTCCAATCTCTTCCAAATCCAAAGTGCAACTCTTGTCTTTTCTCAAAACCATTCATTGCTAAGTCAAACCCTAGCACTTGGGAATTGTGAAATGTGTTCACTAAAAATCACAGAGCTCTTAGATTTTAAAAAACATTAACAACTGTGTGATCATTACAAGATGAGCAGAACTAATCCCTGCACTGTATGGCTGTTTGTGATTTCACTAGATAATTTTATGTTCATTAGTTTGTTGTTGACTTCCTAATGGTCAGCTCTCGGTACCACTATTCGAAACCAATGCAAGGCAGTCTGCTGCTAAATCGCCCGCAGCTGGGATCAAACCCAGCACCTCAGAATTAGAAGCTTATTATTACCGCCTAAGCCACAGATGGTGACTCTTGCATTAAGCACACATAAAAAAAGTAATGCCTTAAAAAATTTAATTTGCAAGAAATGAATTCCAGTTAATAAACACATGCAAAAATTGACAATGCAACAAAATCATGGAAGCTGATAGTGACTTTGTGAGGGGAAAAATCCTTATATACAACCCAGTTTGAAATTCCCTCGGGAAAATCATGAAACTTACATGTTGATGATACTGGGTGTCTATGCAGAACAGCTGAAGGCATTGCTACCAAATCAACTGTAGACAGTAAAAGTAGTTCAACCCTAGAAGATGCAATTGCGTGGTGTCCGTTTACAGCATGGCTGCAATAGTTGCACCTTTCGGCCGACACATCTGACTTCTGCAGGCATTTGTTGACCGGGTTAGCAATCAGTTCAATATCATGGAGAGAGTCCAGTCCAGCAGCCTTGGCCTCTCTTTTCAATGTCTGTCTTAGGGTTTATTTGTGGGCGTCTTCATCTACTTAATCCCTTTATTTCCCATTTTAATGCCTGTTTGGTGATTGTTTGCTGTTGGTTTCTTCTCAGGGTATGTCTGATGTAGCGCCATTTTCTTTATCTTCTAACTGTTGATACTAGTGACTGCCCAGACATTTCTCTTATTTCTTCACTCATTTTGAATTCATCCATTTTATTTTCATTAGTTTCCTCAGAAACTTGTTTTCTAATGCATTTAACTTTTGTTTCATGTCTTCAGTGGTTCTCCAATTTGCATCTGCACATGTTAAAACTTAACATTAGAACTGAAAATACGTAACTTGGTTTTAAAACTATATAATTTAGAGTTCCATATTTTGTTCAAGCTATCTAATGTCAGCAAACCCCATAATGACATTTTACGACGTGCTTGCTAACGGAGGACATGCATCTCTTTCTTTTTTCTTTTAATCTTCCAAAAATGGGAACCTGGAACTCATACGGGAAGCTGCATGTTCAAAAACTAATACAGAAATTTT